ATGATGTAGCTTATCTTAGAAATGAGAGCATTTGGGCACTGAATCTCCCAAATCTTAAGATCAGAGCTTCCTCTTATAGATTCAGCTCAATAAAACATTTATTAAGTAACTTCTGTGTACAATTAGTCGTGCTGTAATGCTTGTTTTGAAAACTCTCATTTGTTCTAATGCAACCCTTATCAGAAAACAATTTCTTCATAAATTGAATTTCAAGTTTGCTTGTACCTGATTTCTTTAAGAAACAGCAAGAATATAGAAAACTGCACCACTTTACAGTAACTCACAAGCTATAATATTTCTGATGCCTACTTCCACGAGCAAATTTTGGGTCTTTTTCCAGGTAAAGGGTTGTATTTATTATATATCTAATAGTGCAGTAGAATCTATGGGTAGAGGATGGCTAATTGACATCACTCCTCTCTTCTCTCACACAGCCTTTAGCACTTGCCATTTTACAGATGAAGAAACTAAGACAAAATGAGGTTAAGTGATTTCCCCAGGGTCCTCCAGCTAGTAAGTGTCTGAGGTCTTACTTGAATTCAGGTCTTCCTGGTTCCAGACTCTGTGCTCTTATCCATTGCACTATCCAACTACCTCAAAGCAACCTTGTAAAGTTGGTGCCATCATTATCCCCACTTTACAGATGAGGAAACCAAGGCCTAGTTTAAGTATCTTGACAGAGAAACCATTATTTTAGATTTGATTCTAACACTATTTCTGCTCTAGCATCAAAGAGGAAAAGAAAAAGTTTTTCATTGGGTCTTACATCTTCCAAGATGCCCATAGTTCCCCAGACAGTATTGTAAAGAAATGTTCTTCATGAAAGAAAAGTATAATTTTTGTTTGTGCCCTTTCCCACACCCCCTTTTTTTCTCTTTTCCATTTCTTCCACTGAGAGTCCTTTTCCGGCAAGGCTTGACTGAGGCTCTGTTTCCTCTGTGAAACATTCACTGAGTCCCCTTTACAAATGAAAATGTTCTCTACTCAAATTTCCCTCAAGTAGTTTGTTTTGATCTCTCCTTTGCCTTAGCACTCCTTGTCATGTGTATAGACATTTTTAAAATTTTATTTTTTATTTATGAAATAACAAGCATTTCTGTAGCATAGTAGAATAAAAAAAGATGATTGCACATGAAACTGCAAATCTATTATGTACAACTTGCTATTCCTTTTAAATATATAATAAAGTTGTCATGTAACTTTTTTCTTTTTTTTTCTTTCCCTCTCCGACTCTCCCCTAAGGATGGCCACCATTAAACACAAACGTGTATGTGTGTGTGTGTAAAATCATTCTATGTGTATTCCTGTTTATCAGTTCTTTCTCTGGATGCAGATAGCATCTTCCTTCATATGTCCTTTGTAGTTACTTTGAGTGTTTATAATAGTCAAGATGACTTAGTCCCTAAAAGTTATTCTTAAAACAATATTGCTGTTACTGCATATCATATTCTCTTGGTTCTGCTCATTTCATTGTTCATTATTTTGTGCAAGTCTATCCATGTTTTTCTAAAATCAACGAGCTCATCATTTCTTATGTCGCAGTAGTATTCTGTCAGAATCATATACTATAGCTTGTTCAGCCATTCCCCAGTTGATGGGCATCCCCACAATTTCCAGTTCTTTGCCACCACAGAGAGAGCTGCCGTAAATGTTTTGGAACATATAGGTTCTTTTTCCATTTCCCTAATCATTTTTGGATATAGACCTAGCAGTGGTATTGTTGGGCTAAAGGGGATAAGCAGTTTTGGCATGATTCCAGATTGTTCTTCTAAATGGTTGGATCAGTTCACAATTCCAACAGTGTTTTAGTGTCCCAATTTTTCCACATCTCCTCCAACATTTTTCGCTTTCCCCTTCAACCATTTTAGCTAATCTGATAGGTGTAAAATGATATCTCAAGGTTATTTTAATTTGCATTTCACTAATCAATAGTGATTTGAAGCATTTTTTCATATGACTATAAGTTGTTTTGATTTCTTCATCGGGAAACTGCCTATTCTGTCCTTTGGCCATTTATCAATTAGGGAATAACTCAGATTCTTAAAGGTTTGACAACGTTCTTTATATATTTGAGATATGAGACTTTTATCTGAGAAACTGTCTATAAAAAACTTTCCCCAATTTTCTGCTTTCCTTCTGATCATGGCTACCTTTGTTTTATTTATACAAAAATATCAATGTAATTGAAATTATCCATTTCATACCTCATTCTGCTCTCTATCTCTTGCTTATTCATAAATTGTTTCCCTATCCATATATCTGATAGGTAATATTTTCGATGTTCTTCAGATTTTCTTGTAATATTTCTCTTTATATCTAGGTCATGTATCCATTTTGACCATATCTTGATAAATGGTGTAAGATAATGGTCTATGCCCAGTTTCTGCCAGACTGCTTTCCAGTTTTCCCCAAAATTTTTTACCAAATAATGAATTCTTATTCCAAAAACTTAACTCTTTACATTGTCAAATACAAGGTTACTGTATTCATTTGCTGCTTTAAGTTATATGTCTCCCCTGTTCCACTGATCTGCCTTTCTGTGTCTTAGCCATTATCAAATAGTTTTGATAATTACTGCCCTGTAATATAGTTTGATATAGATCTGGTACTGCTAAATCTCCTTCCTTTACATTTTTTTCATTAGTTCCTTTGATATTCTTGACTTTTTGTTCTTCCAAATTAATTTTGTTATTATTTTATCTAATTCAGTAAAATAATTTTTTGGTAATTTAATCAGGATAGCATTGAACATATAAATTAGTTTAGGTAAACTTGTCATTTTTATTATACTGGCCCTGCCTACACATGAAAAATTAATATTTCTCCAGTTATTTAAAATCTGGTTTTAATTGTAGAAGAAATTTTTTATAATTTTGTTTAGAAAGTTTTTGAGTTTGTTTTGGCAGATATATTCCCAGGTATTTTATGCTGTCTTGAGGTATTTTAAATGGGATATCTGTTACTGTCTTGTCTTGCAGGGGTTTGTTTCTGATATATAGGAATGCTGATGATTTATGTGGATTTACTTTATATTCTTCTAATTTGCTAAAATTATTAATTGTTTCAGCTAACTTTTTAGTTAAGTCTTTGGAATATTCCAAATATGTCATCATATTATCTGCAAAAAGAGATGGTTTAATGCCTCATTCTCTATTTTGATTCCTTCTATTTATTTTTCTTCTCTTATTGCTATTGCTAGGATTTCCAAAACAATATTGAATAATATTGCTGACAGTGGGCATCCTTGTTTCACACCTGATTTTACTGGGAAGGCTTCTAGCTTATCCCCATTGCAAATAATGCTTGCTGATGGTTTTAGGTAAATGCTTTTTACCAATTTAAGGGAAAAAATCCATTTATACCTATACTTTCAAGTGTTTTTAATAGAAATGCATGTTGTACTTTATCAAAAGCTTTTTCTGCATCTATTGATATAATCATAGGATTTTAAAACTTTTATTATTGATATCATCAATTATGTTAATAGTTTCCTTACGTTAAACCATCCCTACATTTCTACTATAAATCCGACTTGGTCATAATGTATAATCTTTGCAATATATTGTTGTAATGTTTTAGCTAGTATTTTATTTAGGATTTTTGCATCTGTATTCATTTATAAAATTGATCTATACTTTTCTTTCTCTGTTTTTACTCTTCCTGGTTTAAGTATCAGTATCATATTTGTTTCATAAAAGAAGTTTGGTAGGACCCCTTCCCTTGTATATTATTCCAAATAATTTAATATTGGAATTAATTGATCTTTAAATGTTTGATAGAATTCGCTTTTAAATTCATCTGATCCTGGTGCTTTTTTCTTAGGAAGCTATTCAATTTCTTTTTCTAAAATAGCTCTATTTAGATGTTCTATTTCCACTTCTGCTAATCTAAGCAATTTATATTTTTGTAAGTATTTTTCCATTTCACTTAAATTGTTAAATTTATTGGCATATAATTGGGCAAAATAACTCCTTATAATTGCTTTAATTGCATCTTTGTTAGTGGTATATTTACCTTTTTCATTTTTAATACTAGTGATAGTTTTCTTTTTTTAATCAAATTAGCTAATGCTTTATTTTATTGGTTTTCTCATAAAAATTATTTATATCAGACATAGAGACATTACCTCTTCCTGTCACCCATTAGAAGGTAATCTCTTTGAGGACAGAGACTGTACCTTTTTAAAAAAAAGTATCTCTAGCATGTAGCATAACAGATACTTCCCATAGATAGTAGGCATTTAATAAGTGTCTTAGGAATGGGTGAAAGAGAAAGGAAGACAGATAAGAGAGGATGTCTTTTTTTGGAAAGTTGATAATGGTAATACCATCTCTGCTGCTGGGTTGGTAATTTCTTTCCATGATTTTTATAGATTCTGTCATTAAAGACTCACTCAAGCAAAGTGTTTGTGATCATTCTGTCCTTAGAACAGAGCAAAAACCTTGGGACTCTGTTCTTGTTGTCAAGCTGTTGTTTCAGGACTCAGACTCGCTCTTAGTAACAGATCATATTCTGTATTACCCTAGATGACCTTTCACTTTAGGCCAATCCCAAGGAGCAGTGAATGTCTCCTGAATTCTCTTTGATGGGTCCTGACAGCAAAGAAAAGCTTGTGCTTTAAAGACGATGTGCCAGACCCATGAGCTGTCTGTTGTAAAAGCAGTTTGTTATGCTACATAATTTGTTATTTAGCCTTTGGCCTCAGTTTCTTCATCTGTAAAATGAGAGGATGGGACTAGAAAATCTCTAAGGTCTCTTGCTGCTGAAAACATGTTCCTATAAGTTTGTTATAACTGGTACTTCTTGGTAATTTATTCTGGCAAACTATTGAACTTCAAACCAGGAACCAATGTAGTGTAAATGTATCTTGGCTTATTTGTTCTTCCTAATTCCAGACATGTTAACATGATTGAATAAGTTCGTAAGAATTTGTTTTTCATTTTTCTTTTCTTGACTCAATAACACTTAAGATTTTCTCACAATTTGGAAATCATGTTTAGATCAAACACTCCCAGGAAGGCTGTCTTTGCTGGAAGCATGCAGTTGTTAGCAGGAGTCAAACTGTGCACAGGGAGGACCTTGACCAACCACCCACACTATGAAGATAAGGGACTGAGAGAGAGAACAAAAGAGGTCAGTGCCCTCTCAGGCTTTGCATTGGGTTTTTGGGATGGCCCGCCAAGTTTGTCCTAGTTTCCCTTCTGTTTGGTGTTAAATGGAATTTCATGCAGGGTGCCTATAATTTGGAGTTTAGAGGAGCTGAGAATTAGATGAGAAAATGTAATCCAGAGGAGTCACCCTTTAAAATTCTTACATTCAATTCATTTCAGCAAACATTCATTAGTCACCATCTAAGTACAAATCACAGTACTAGGGATACAAAGACATAAACAAAATAGTCTGCCCCCAAAGAGTTTACATTCTATTGGAAGGATACAATATTTATTGTATAAATGTGGCATAAATATGAAATAAGAAAATTGAAAAGGGAAGAGGAGGAAATCAAAAAAGACTTCACTGAGAAGGTGGCCTCTTCAAAGGAAGATAAGGATTGTAAGAGGTAAAAATGAGGAAATAGATAATTCAAGACCTGAGTAATGACTTGTGCCAACATACATAGGCAAGAGATGGAATATAGGTTCTGGACCAAGTTAGACCAGTTTGGCTGGAACAAAGAATTGATGATTGGGGACAGTATAAAATAAGGCAGGAAAAATAAGTGGAGGCCAGATTGTGGAGGGCCTTAGATACTATGCTAAGCCTGTGCTTTAAGATTATTTTGGCAGCTGTGAACAGACTGGATTAGAAAAGGAAGTGACTGGAGGAAAGCAGACCAACTAGAATGCTTTTATAGTTGTCCAGGTGAGATAATGAGGGTCTGAATTAGGGGCGGTTTTGCGAGTAGGGAGAAAAGGACAGATATGAGAGGTGTAGGGGTAGAATTGAAATGGCTTAGTAACTTATTGCAAATGGAGTTGAGAAAAAGAAAGGAGTCCCCACTCTGGGTTTACAAAACTGAGTGGATGGTGGTACCCTAGTAGAATTTGGGAAATGTGGAGATAAAGTATTAGGGGAGAAAATAATTCTATTGTGTTTGAGATGCCTGTGGAACATCTGGAAGGAAATATGTAGCATGCAAATGGAACTATGGAACTGGAATTCAGGAGAGAGCTTAAGACTTGAGCTATATAGATTTGGGAGTTGTTGTGTAGATAATACTTCAAGCCATAGGAAGTGATGAGATTTCTGAGAGACAGTATGTAGAAAGAAGAAGAAAGGGCCTAGGACAGAGCCCTGGGGAACACCCAATGCTGAGGGCACAGGAGATGAATTAAAGGAGACTGAGAATGAGTGAATGATCATCCAAGATAGGTAGGGAAGAACTGAGTGAGAACAATGTCACTGAAGCCAAAGGAGGAGAGAATGTCCAAGAGGCAGAAGTGTTCAGCAGTGTCAGAGGCTGCCTAGAGGTCAAAGAGAATAAGGACTGAGAAAAAGCCATTGAGTTAAGAGTCTGTTGGTAACCTTAGAGAAAACAATTTCAGCCAGGTGGTAGAGTAGAAAGCTAGACTACAAAAGATTGAGAAGTTAGCTGTATAGCATATAGAGGGAGCACATTGAGACTAGGAGATTGGCAGTGAAAGGGAGATATGGGATGATATGAGAGTTTGAGAGGATATCAGGGTCAAGGGAAGGTTTTATAAGGATGGAGTAGACCTGTGTGTGTTTTAGTTAATGGGTAAAAACAATAAATAGGAAAAAGTTTAAAGATATACAAGAGAAGAAGTTACTGGTTTATTAACATGCTTAGGTGAGAGAAAGGATTAAATCAAGGGTTGAAGGTAGAAGGTTGGTCTTATCAAGGAGAGAGGTGTCACCTCTTCCTCAGGGATAGGAGGGAAGGAAGAGAAGACGGGTGAGCTTCTAAACTTGGACCTTCAGACTGCTGTGCAGACTACCTGGCTCTCTTCACCGGATTCAACTCTTTGCAAACCTTAAAGCACTATGTAAACATTAGCTGTTAACAAGGGAAATGAAACCTTTAAAAGGTAGAAATATTATGGTTGTATGAAATCAAGGGATTGGAATTAGAATGATTTTGGTCACTTTTAAACTTTCAATTTAAAAGTGATGATTTGAGGATGGGTTTTAGTTGGTTTCAAAGCCATTGCTCTGTACTCAAGCTTCCAGCTTCCATGCCATGCCTTTGCACAGTGTCCTCCATTCTTAGAATCTCCTCTCTCCTTATCTCTGCTTATGGAACCCCTAGTTCCTTTTCAAATGGTTCCACTTCTGTGCCACCAACTCCCATGAGAAACCTTTCTTGATTCTCCCAATTCTCAGTGCCTGGCCCCTGAAATTACTTTGTATTTGTTTTGCATTTACTTGTGTATGTGTTGTTTCTCTCACAGTAGAATGTAAGCTCTTGAATGAAGGCAGGAACTGATTTTTGTGCCTCATTCATCTGTCACAGTGCCTGGCACATAGTAGGTGCTTAATAAATGTTGAATTACATTTAATTGAAATTTTTGAATGTATATTTTCAAGTAGTTGTATGTTACAGGCATATCACTAGGGATTCCCTCTCTCCTTTTCTTCAGCATGGTCCTATTAAAACAAGCATGGCGTTTTTCCTACTGATACACTGAGTGTATATTCTTATACCATTTTCTTTCCATTTTGAAAGGTTTATCAGATATATGCGAAGAGATCTCCTGAAGAAGTTTATTCCCTCCTGAGGTCCTTTGGCACAGACTATGTCATCTTGGAAGACAGCATTTGCTATGAAAGAAGGCATAACAGAGGCTGCCGCCTCCGAGACTTGCTTGACATAGCTAATGGACATGTAAGCACAGTAGTCACTCTTTTTACAGAGTATCTTCTGAGAGGGCAAGAGGTCACAACTAATAATGAGTTCCTTAGCAGGGTTTCGTGGCTAGTCATTAATTTCTACATTATAGCATCATATTAATAAAACATGTGTAGTCCATGCATAAGAGTAAGGCACTAGGAACCTACTGGTTACTAGACCATGCATGCTGACTTGTTTTCCTAGGAATGGCAGTGGAAGGGCCCTGTAATGGTGTTCGCAGTTCTTGTGACCAGTGCCACACATCTGAAGAAATGATTTCCTGGTCTGTAACTGTGGTACAGCAAAGTGGCTATCCTTAGCCACCTCCACGAAAAGAGTGCGTGGTACTCTGCTAGGCCCTGGAAAGAACAATCAGGAGAAGGACCTCACCTTTTAGGAATCTGAGTTCCGTAAGAGACAAGAAAATTTGCCCAGCTTGCTTTCTGTTTCATATTATTTATTGTTTGAGACAGATAGTAGATCATGGGAGTGAGATATAAAAGATACAGTCTTATGACTTGTGCACAAGAAGTACTACATAAATATTCAATGAATGACATGAATGAGGCATGAAGGAATGAATAGGTTTAAGACCATACTTTTGCTCAGGAGGTAAGAGGGCCTGGAATAATCTTTGTTAATGCTTTTAGTGAGCCATGACCTGAAGATCCCTGGGCTTAACAGATTATATTACTGTGTCAATATTTACTTTTTTTAAATATGAGCTTTTCTTTCTGATAAGTACATCATACGTCATGGCCATCTTTACATGTTTTGGGAGCTAACAGGAGAAATCTTTATTTTCTTAGAAAAGACAATGTGGTACAAGTGAAAGAACTGGACAGAGTCAGGTGACCTGTACTATGTTACATTCCTTCCTCTACCACAGATGGTGTGATCTTGGCAAGTCCTTTTGGCAGGTCTAGGCCTCAGTTTCCCCACATGTAAAATGAGGGAGAAGTAGATGATCTCTAATAGCCTTCCAGCTCTAAAATTAGAATTGTAAAATTTTCAGCTTAATTTTACCTCATATATAATTCCTAAAGGCACCTGATATACACTCATGACTTTGCATGTTTTCCAAGTTTACGTGAGTTTTCATCTTGGTCATAGGTAATGGATGGCCCAGGAGAGAATGATCCTGATTTAAAGCCTGCCAAGCACCCCCGATTCTGTGAAGAAATCAAAAGAAACTTGCCTTCATACTCTGCACACTTCACCAGAGTGTTTCAGAACAAAACATTTCATGTTTACAAGCTGTCTAGGCACAAGTAATACAACTTTTGGTAATTCTTTATTCTGATCCAGGTGAAATTTCATTCTTTTGAAGCCCAACATGATGAAATTCCTGTGTCTTGAGTCAGTTTTGAGCCTTCACCAGACTCGTGTTGCTTTCCACACCATTTTGAATAGCCCCATTCTGTAGCAACAAACAAGGCTTCATGGTAAATGAATTTCACCTGTAGTTTAATGCTGTGAGGTTTAATAAGTACTCTAGAAGTTTACATGAGTGTTGATATTTTTTGAAGGTATTTTACATAAACTGTCTTTTTCTTTTTGTCTAACTTTTTCCACTGGTGTTCATTGTGTTGAGTGTAAACAAGTTTCTAACAGTGATCTGGAACTTTGTTGTTTGAGCTGTTTCCAATCAGATGGGAATACTGAGTCTGCTTAGGATTGGAAATATTTTTAAGCTTACTTTGAATTTTATTGAACTGAATCAAGTGACTTTGTAACAGAATTAGTGAATAATATCCTTTCAATTAATTATTACATGCTATTGAAGTATTATATACACTAATGATGGTGTGGCAGTTAAAAAAACAAAGTTTACTGTTCTATTTTTTTCTGTAAACTTTACAGACATTTCCAGTTTCCATGCTCTTAGCATTCAAAAATTACAGTGGCTCTGTGTATTTATTTGATACTTTTTCCATTGATATGTGTTTGAGCAAGCACTTCAGTAAAATGTATCTTTTATTAAAAACAAATTTTTAAAGTAATAGGCACAGAAGAATATTACAATTAAGTGTCTTGGATTCTTAGAATGGCAGAAAGTGTGTGTAGGAAGATTGTTTTGTTTCATAATAGAATATTCAACTAGAATTTGTTTTATTACTATTTGGTGTTTTTGTTTAAAAGCACATTTATACTCTTTTAATCTTTTTCCTTCCATTAATATTATTTTGTTTCATTTTGTACTTGTTTTAAAATTGCCAGGTTTATTAACTTTGGTAACCTGTGTTCCGGTTTTAGCTTTTGTATTTTTACAGCTTAGTACCTATCTACTTTTTAAATGTTGTCTTAACTATGTCACTATTATGGTATTTTTAGGCAAACTGCATTTTCATACCAAGTGTGACTTATGTCAGCTCCAACCTTAATGAGGTACCTTCTATCTTTATTTTTTTTTCCTTTCTGAAAGGTAATTAAGTGCCTCTAAGTCTACCCCAATACCGAAATACTTGTAACCAGCCCTGGTAGTATGTATACCTGTTCAAGAAATTTCAGATGGATTGCTGTTAGAATTAATTTCTAGTGAAGATATAAAAAAAGATGCTGCTAAAAACATATTGTATATTTAATTAAATCAAGATGGCTAATGAGATTAACTTTCACCACTGCTCTATGCACCAATGCCAAATGATTTAAATACCTTCCCCTTGTAGTTGTTCTTAGGTACATTACCAAAGGGATTGAGATGGATATGTCACATGTTCAAATAATTTTATATTCAGTAAATACTCATTAAGCAGCATTCAGAATCTTTCTGCACTTTCATGTTGAACACAAAAGGATAGTGAGCTTTTATCAAAACTTATTTAAATCAAAACTTGACAGTATAGCTGGGCTATTAAATTGTGCATCCAAAGCTCCTGAATCATTTCTTTCCTGTATCCCTTAATGAGGTTGGAGTCCACTGCAGTTTAACATAATACAATAATAAAACATTTTAATCAGTATTAAAACTTTAATTAAGCCAGTAATGATGCATGCCTGTTGTAGCTGACAGCATGGGTCAGTAAGTTCTTCATTGAGTGCCTTACAATAATTTAAAATCAAGCACATGTAAGGTACTGTGTTAGACTGTGGGGTTCAATTTTTAAATCATCAGCCCTCTTTTCATATATTTGAACAAAACCTAAAGCATCCCACAAGTATTCATCTGTTCCTTTTGAGAATTTGGTTGTAGATTTACCACCTTGAGAAATTATCTGGACATTTTGCTGCTATTCATTGTCACATAGATGGCACAAGATGCTTTTCTTTTTTTAATTAAGTTTACATAACAGTAACGGTGTTGCCAAATCATTCCATGTTGATCAAGTATTTTCATGGAAAATATAAAGTGCCAGAAGAAAAAAAAGTGTGCCAGACAGAGCCCACACATTCTTATTCTTTCCAAGACACTGTGACCGTGTACAGTAGAATTTTTTAATTTCCTAAAAGACAGATCTCCCAGCTATCACCTGGACATTTTCAGAGCTAGAGTCAGAGCCCTTTTTATAATCTCTCCGTGGCATGTACAGGAAGGGAGCTCAGGCTAGTGGGAAGAAGAAGGAAACTCATGACTTGAGGTTTGTATCTCTAGGTTGGCCACCACCCTGGAACCAGCTGCTGCAGATCCCTGAGTCTCCGGCCTTCCTAACCTTTACCTTAAATAGATGAGCAATTAGTACTTGGAGAGAGCCTCAAAACCTAGTATTATCTTCAAATGAATGGGTCTTAGTGCACCAGAAGGTGGCTCTCACTCCAAAGTTTGTAGCTGAAAGATCCTAAGTCATTAATGCTCTCCACAATTTTTCATTGTCCTTTTCTTTAAATGATTGGAGTATATTTAAGGTCTTCAGTAGTAGAATGGTAGTCGTATAAAACTAGATGTGACCAGGATTATGAGCTAATTCATAATATTGTTCTAAACAGTGCAAAAGACAATTATTTTTCCATCAAATCAATTATTTTTATTTTCCCTTTTTTTTTCCTAAAGAAAACAAAATTGTAACAAGTCCCTTAGGAACTTCGTGTCAGACACAAAAACTATGGTAAAAATTTACCTTAATTTTGCAAAGATTCCCTTTTTGGGTTAGTCACAACCTTGTAATTAAAAGAATGAAGTTTTGATACACCTAAATCAGCAGTTCTGACAGATGTGTCCCATGGTATTATTTTTCAGTACAACCTTTAGGCCTAGGTGGTTAGTACTTATCAGGTCATGGAGAGAGGCTTTTTGATGAGAGGGGAGCCTGTCAACTTTCCTGTGATAATTGGCTTTCTGATTTAACATCCTATGGGTGAGATCTTATAGAAAACTGTTTTATAATTTGTTATACTGAACCATGTGAAGATTGTATATTAAAATAAAGGTCTTTTAAATCATGCAAGAGAAGTGGTTTTTATTTCCCTCAAGGCCAAAGCCTGAGGAATCTACCTACGTCTCTGTGCTAGAGAGAGGTGATCACTAAGGACGGAAAAGGGAGGGTCTTTATTTCATTTGTCAGTTTTTTAACTTTTTATTTTTGTTTTAGTCAACCTTGGCCAGACAGCTTTCTATTAGCTTGGGTTAAGTCTTTAGTTTGTAGCTATAAAGATAAAAATGACAGTACCTACCTTCAGGGAGTTCACTTCTACCAGGGGTAATCTAGTTTTTGCAACTTAACAGTGGCATAATCAATTCTGTGCTTAGTAATAAGCCCGTATGACGTTATCCGGTATTAGCTGAACTACATGGTCCAGAACTAGGTCCCGCTGCCCTCGTCAGGCTACATATGGAGTATTTTGTTCAGTTTTGGTGCCTCAGTTCAGATAGAACATTAACTAACGTATCTAAAGAAGGCAAGCCAGCTAGTCACAGGACTCAGAACTATGTGGAAGAAAAGAGATCACAGGATTTAAAACTGGCACTAGCCCCTGCATCTCAGCCATCTGTCCCTATGGCTCTGCTTCCCACTCCCCACACACCTGCCCTTTATCGACCCAAATCACAGTTTTCCATGAGGTTGGACTTCATGGAGGACCTTGAAGAGTCTAAATCAGAGGTGTTAAACACACAGCCCTCTGGCTGTGTTGTGGTGGGAGCACTATAGAGTACAGCTCAAATAGGATGAAAATGTTAACTGGGAAATAATTAACAAAAATACAGTAGAATAATATTAATGTGGTTTGCTAAGCTGATACGTGGCTCACAGGGAACCTTATTTTCAGTTTAGTGGCCCGTTTCTATTTGAGTTTGACTCCATTGGTATTCTAAATCACCTGTGTCCTTCTAAGGACCTCGCCAGTCACCGATACTCTGCCTGGTTTATTCTTCGATGGTTAGTGTCTTCCCACTTCTTCATATTCTCCCTTCCCAGTGATTCTGAAATCTCAACTGCCTCCATACAGTCCCCATCTCCATTCCCAACTACCCACTCATGTGCTCTCATCCCTAGCCCGATTATGTTCCACTGCTGACCTGTGCTGTTTGGAACACCTACTCAATAATTAACAAGCTTGCTTTCTTAAACTTTTTCTTTTCTTACTCCTTCCATCTTCGGAAATTCATCCAGACAACACTGTATCCTTGGCCACCCTTTAGCCGCTCCATCCCTAACTGCTTATGGTGGGAGAGTCTGAATACTCTTGGCTCCCTGTTACCACTTCCAGACTCTTTTTGCAACCTCCCAGGCTGCGAAGCTCACTCCTTATCAACATAACACCCATCTAGACGCTAGTGTCTGTTATCTATCAGCCCCCAGGACATCTTTCTCCAAAGAGTTTATACTTGGCTCCCTGACTTTCTAACCTCCATGCCCAATGCCTTCTCTCATACTGGGGGACTTCAGTATACAAACTGATATTCTCTCAAGTACACTCGATTTTCAGCTCCTCGGTGGATTTAATTCTCATGACCCACTCTTCTACTCTACACAAAAAGATGATGATACTTTTGATCTTGCTGTCACAAGAGTTCCACTTCTGTGTTCATGAACTCTAAAATTCTTTATCTGATCAGAAACCTTTGCTTCTTCATCTTATTGCTGACCGTACCTGGCCAAATCCCAACCTTGGATTATTCCTACAATCTGCCTCCTTCAGTCCTAATCATGTGCTCCTGAATGAAACTGGAAAAAATCACAAAATCATACTGATTGGATCCACCGTAAATTTGTTTTGCATAATCTCAACCAAGACCTCATTACTGTAAGGCAATCTCTTCACCTTCCTATGTTGATTCAATATCTCACTACAGCAAGTATTCTGAGCACTTTTATGCTTCCTCAAGCCTCGCTTCCACTTCAGCTGAGAACTTGGCCTCATCACACACACAAAATAATGAAGAGAGCCAGAGCTTCCCTTCTCACCTCCTCATCTCACATCCCTCAGGCACCTTCCCACACTATCTCCTCCTTCACTCTTGTCTCATGTGTGAAGAGGTTGCCCTTCTTGCCAAGGCAAACCTCCCATTGTGCATCCTTCAGTCCCATCCTAACCTGTCTTCTCTAGCAGATTTTACTCACTGTCATCCCTGCTGTATCACTAATCTTCACTCTCTCCCTATCTACTGATACCTTTACTGCTGCCTACAAACACATCCATGTTTTCTCCATCCTTTAAAAAAAAAACACATTTTATCTGACCATCCTTGCTATAGTTTCTTTTATTTAAATTATTTATTTTTAGTTTTTAACGTTCACTTCCATAAGATTTTGAGTTTTTAAATTTTCTCCCTCTCCCTTTCTTTCCCCCTCCCCAAGATGGTGTGTAATCTGATATAGGCTCTGTGTATACATTCACATTAAGCATATTTTCAAGTTAGTTGTGATGTGTAGAAGAATTAAAACTATTGGGAGGAACCGTGAGAAAGAAGAAATAAAACAAAACAAAAGGAGAGCAAGCAATATGTTTCCATCTGCATTCAGACTCCATGGTTCTTTTTCTGAATGTGGATAGCATTTTCCATTGTGAGTCTTTTGGAGTTGTCTTAGATCCTTGCATTGCTGAGAAGAGCTAAGTCTATCAAAGTCTGTCATCCCACAATGTGGCTGTTACTATGTACAGTGTTCTGGTTCTGCTCATTTCACTCAACATCAGTTCATCTATGTCTTCCCAGGTTTTCTGAAGCTAGCTATATTTTCTATCACTCCTCCCCTCTGTTAAAACTCCTTGTTAAAGCAGTCTACAATGGGGCCTCCACTTCTCTCTCTCTCTCTCTCTCTCTCTCTCTCTCTCTCTCCTCTCTCAACTGAAATCGCTCTCTCCATTTAGCAGTGATCTCTGAATTACCAAATCTAATGGCCTCTTCTTTCCAGTGGACCTTTCTCTCCTTCTTGATCTTGGCAGCCTTTGACATGGTCAGTCACCCTCTTCCTGATACTCTCCTCTCTCAGTTTCTGTAACACTGCTCTTGGTTCTCTTTCTTCTCTCCCTGAGAACTGTACCTTCTCAGTCTCTACTACATTTTCATCCAGGTAATGCTCAGTAACCATGAACCTTTCAAGGTTCTCTCCTAGGTCTGCTTCTCTTTTCTCTTTAAACTAGCTTCTTTAGTGATCTCTTCAGCTCCCCTGGGTTCAGTTACATCTTTGTGCAGGTGATTCCTAGACCTACAGTAGGCAGCCCTAATCTCTTCTAAGTCCTAGTACCATATCACCAACTGGCTTTTCGACATTTCAAACTGGCAGTCTTATGGGCATCTCAAACTCGGTATGTTCAAAAGAGAACTCATCTTTCACCTAAAACCCTCCTTTCTTCCCAATTTTCTTATCACTGTTGGTACCACCATCCTTTCAGTCACCCAGACTGGCAACTTTGTCATCCTCTATGCTTAATTCACACTCACCCCACATAGTCTGTTGTCAAACCTTGTTTTTACCTTCACTTGTCTTATATACATGCCCTTCCTGCCATTCACCCTAGTGAGGCCCTTATCTCGTCTCCTGTTATTGTAATAACCTTCCAATTGGTCTCCTGCCACAAGCGTCTCCCCATTTCATCTTCTGCTCAGCTGCCAAAATGGTTTTCGTAAAATGTAGGTCTGACCTCACTATTCAATAAGCTTAATGGTTCCCTTTTGCCTTTTGGATCAAATATTGAATGCTGTTTGGCACTTAGAGCCTTTCACACCCTGACTGCCTGCCACCTTTCTAGTTCCCTTATACTTGACCCCTCCATGCACATAGGATCTAGCTCCCCCGGTCTACTTGCTGTTCCTCATATGGTTGGGGTTGGGGAGAAAAATAAATATTTATATGGCTCCTACTACATGCTAGACACTGTGCTAATTCAATTGGCGTCTCATTTGGTTCTCCCAACAACTGCAAAGTAGGTGCTATTATCCTTATTTTAAGTTGAGGAAACTGAGGCAAACAGGTTCCAGAATTTGCCCAGGGTCATGCAGCTAGTGTCAAGTTGTATTTGAGCTCAGGCTTCCTGACTCCAGACCCTCCATTCTGTCTACGCCACCACCTACTTGTCGCAAAGTGCCCCATGCCTGGAATGTTCTCCCTCCTCCCCTTTGCCTGTTTTCTAGCTTCCCTGACTTCCTTCAAGTCTCAGCTCAAATCTGCTCCCCACTACTGTGCCCTGAGTTGCTAGTGCCTTTCCTCTGAGATTAGTTTCCATTTACACTGTGTGTGTGTTTGTGTGTATGTGCAAGAAGTTATGATGGCAAAGGACAGTGTGCAGACTAAGTTCTATTGTGAGAACTTGGCATTCAAGAGACTCACAAATGAGCTGGCTGTTGAAAAGCTAATTCATGCAGCATTATTGAGAAACTAGACGATTTGTCTGTTTACAAAGTAGCCCTAGAGAATGAAGCGGGCCCTGTCAGGGCTATTCACTGCAATCACCTATTACCTGTAGGCGAGTTAGCTGGACTTTCTAATGAGCAGTTGGAGGGAACTGTTGGACGCTAACCTAGGAAAAGGCTGAGTGAAAGAGACTGCAACTCTACCAAGACTTTCAGACTCAAGTATGGGCATTGAAACTGATATATCTAGTGAAGAAAGCTGTATCATCACAATGCAAGAGAACTAAACCCAGCAGCAATTGCTTTCCTACCTAAAATTGCTACAGAGACCCCTAGGGTACAGATTCGACACACAGAACAAGAACACACTGTTAGCCGCCTTGGCACGGCTGCCAGCCCAGGTGTAGACACGTTAGTCTATAGTGATCCTGATATCAGCTGCTACCTCTGGCCTAGGAGCTGAGAGATCAGTCAGTGACAACAGAACCAGGACTATTAGACAAGTCCCTAGATTATATTACAGGTAAATCTGAAGAAATAGTTACACATGTATCTAAGTGACAGTATTCACATATTACCGATGTGAAAAGGCCTTGCATGTAATTGCCTATGTTTATTGCACACATGTGAATTATTGCATGTTTGAGCATA